GTAGGAAGTGGGAGGGGGAGGAGGAAGAGGTGTAGGAGGGGGAGGAGGAGGGGGGGGATGAGGAGGAGGAAGAAGAGGATATGATGAACGCCTGGGAGGGGTGAGGGCCAGAACCAAGCAAGACGAAGACCAAGGGAAGGGAGGACCCAGAATAACTGAATGGATGATGGGAGAGGGGAACTAAACGCACACACATACATACATACATACATACATACATAAATAATAATAGTTGCCCCTCTTGTAACGAGGATGGCCGGTCCAAGGGCCACCGAGGCGTAAATTTGTTTAAGGTGTAGAAGCTGTCGCCAACACAACAACCACACCCTGAGTTAACGAGCTGCATGACAACTCGCCAACTGGCTAACCATTACCCAGGAATACGATCCGCAAATCGACTAACATCCAGGTTCCCAATTACTGCTGGGTAGACAGAGGCAAATGACGTCCTCTGTGTGCACCAACAAGGACACTCACCCTCTGTGTACACCAACAAGACACTCACCCTCTGTGCACACCAACAAGGACACCCACCCTGTATTGCACCAGCAAGGACACCCACCCTCTGTGTGCACCAACAAGACACTCTCCCTCTGTGTACACCAGCAGAACCACTCACCCTCTGTGTACACCAACAAGGGACACTCACCCTCTGTGTACCAACAAGGACACTCACCCTCTGTGTACACCATGGGACACCACCCCTCTGTGCACCAACAGGTTACTCACCCTCTGTGTACACCAACAAAGACCTCTCACCCTCTGTGTACACCAGCAAGGACACCCACCCCTCTGTGTACACCAGCAGAGTTACCCACCCACTCTGTGTACACCAGCAAGGACACTCACCCTCTGTGTGCACCCAACAAGGACACCCACCACCTCTGTGTACACCAACAGGACACACCCATCCTCTGTGTACACCAACAAGGACACTCACCCTCTGTGTACACCAACAAAGACACTCACCCTCTGTGTACACCAACAAGGACACTCACCCTCTGTGTACACCAACAAGGACACTCACCCTCTGTGTACACCAACAAAGACACCCACCCTCTGTGTACACCAACAAGGACACTCACCCTCTGTGTACACCAACAAGGACACTCACCCTCTTCTCATAATTAATTAAAATTCTGACAAATTTCATCCATCAAATAGATTATTAATTTGTTTAATAATAAAAAACAACCTAGGATCACCTGAAGATTACACACGTCAGCTTATTGTACCTGAAAATGAAAACACTGTAACACTACCTGGGAGAGGATTAGGCGAGGAGAGGTTAAGCTTAGCGTTGGGTTTATTTTAATCGTCAGATGAAATAAGCTGGGGTGTCTAATTCTCCTGTGATCTCAAGTAAACAAGTAGGTGGAGGGTCTTAAGGTTATTCATGACCAGATAAGCTAATTTTTGATGCTTAGAAAAGTTGTGGCTGATCAGGATATTTTTAGTTGTCCCCCAAGAGGTGAAGCCGGTGAGGGACAGCACACGTTTTGGTCCACTTGGTGTAGACTGACGTGGGAGGGTCTTGGTTTATTGACCACAACAGAGAGGAACACCTTTAGAGTAAACCAGCACACTAACTGAGCTCTTGACGGTGTGTGTATGTGGGTAGGTGGTGTGATATGAATGCAATATTTCTCGGTGTTGTCGCCTTGTGTAGGAGGCAGCCCTTCCCCCTTCTACGAATATCAGATGGTCGGAACCCTTCACCATGACGACAGGGACAGTCTCCTTCGTGTTGATAGGTGATTTTGCACCGTATGAAAACATTATTGGTTGCGTGGGTTCGAATCCTGCAGGCACAGTAGTGTTGCGTATATCGCTCACGTTGTGGCAGAACTCTGCATCTGGCCTACTATTGTGTTAGTTAATGTATCATTTGTTGAACGATGATGCACCACATGGACGTGTTTAGGAATGTAAAGTGTTCAAGGAGTACAAGTGACAAAGGAATGTGGCATGTGTGTGGGGGGTGTCATACATACATATTCATGCCAAGCGAGTATTACAGCACGGAAAAGCCTTATCAGCCTCCCTGTTGGTACTATTCACAGTAGAATATTAGACGAGGAAGTAAGGTGATGACGCGGCCTGACTACTGACACGCTGCTTCACGTCCTCCATCTCTACCCCGGACTGAACTAAAGCGCTCGTGCAGTTCAAGAGATCCTTTAATTGCAGAAGGATCACCGTTCGTGTATTAAATTGGTCCATTAAAGGTATTCCTTGTAATTTATTGATACATTTATCACTGGAATCATAACCCATATGATCCGGTGTAACAATAAAGCTTTCTCTTAACGCAGTTCTGGAAATTAGGTTATCTAGCATGACACAGGCAGGCGCCTCACTGGTGGATGTAGCAAGCCTTGAAATTGGCATTTCACCGATTCTCGTTCTTTATTCTGAGCGCACGTACAGTTTTACGGTAAGGTAATGAGGTTGAATAATCCAATTACCTGGTGTATAAAGATAAAATGCTCAACTCTTCCCTTTATCTTGAATTTTTTCGTCTGGTTAACCCTAATGAGATATGTACATCACCCAGCCTTTTGTGGGACTTGATTACAGTACACCATCTTCAAGAGTCTCCTGTGAAGGCGGCGGGAAAGAGGCAGCAAGAATTGTTAGGAAGAGAGTGGAGAAGGAAGGGATGGGAATGAGGAGAGCGTAGGAGGGGAGAACGATTGTGGTAGGGTCACTGTTAGGGAAGGCAGAGCACCGCGTCATGTTGGAGTGCATGAGACTACACCAGAACAAGACACTAACAGGGTGCATTGTGGGACTTTTCACAGTGTCTTGTGGTCAGTAGTCAGATAGACACGTGGATCGGAGGAATGTCTTATGTTACCCATTTGATATCTCTGTAAACTAAAGTAAACTAACTTCAGACACATCTTGTAAATATATACAGTAATACATATATTGAACAACAGCAAGTTCTTACCTCCAACCCGTCACCTCCTCACCCATTTTCCTCTCCACCCGACCCATCCCCTTCACCCCCCCAAAAACTTTTCATTCCATCCCACCCATCCCTCTCCAACCCACCCATCCCTCTCCACTGCACCCCACCCACCCCTCTCCACCACATCCATCCCTCTCCACCACATCCATCCCTCTCTACGCCACCCAACAAGCGCCATAAAAAATGTGATTGCACTCTGCACTCGACACAATGGGATCAGGCAATGTGATGGCATTTTAAAGTGATGGGGCTGCCTGGCCGTCGATCTCCACCGATAATAAAAAAATTATAATTACAATGAAACTTTAGGGTGCGGAGGTGGCGTCCCCCCCCTCTCCTCCTCCCCTCTCCTCTCCCTCCCCTCTCCCTCCCTCCCCTCCCCTCCCTCCCCTCCCCTCCCCCTCTTCAATTATTGATGATTAGGGAGAGGAAAGAAAATAACAAAGCCTCTTAAAGAAGTTGTGTTATGATGTTTGTGTGTGTAATGGTCAGCATACTCGCCTCGCAAGCGAACGGACCCGGGTTCGATCCCCGGGCAGGGTGAAACTATGGGCAAGTTTCTTTACACCATTTGCCTCTGTCTATCCAGCAGTAATTGGGAACCTGGATGTTAATCGATTTGCGGATCGTGTTCCGGGGTAATGGTAAGCCAGTGCAGTTGGCGAGTTGTCCGGTCTTCTTGGACTATGCCCTGACACTGGGCCATGCAGCTCGATAACTTAGTGTGTGGTTGGAGTGTTGGCGACAGCTTCTACACCTTAAACAAATTCATGCCTAGGTGGCCCTAGGGCCGGCCATCCTCGTTACACGAGGGGCAACCATTATTAAACAAATTCGGGAAAAGTTTGGGGAATTTGAGGAAAAGTTAATTAAGTTTCTAGAATTAGGGACGTGTGTGTGTGTGTGTGTGTGTGTGTGTGTGTGTGTGTGTGTGTGTGTGTGTGTGTGTGTGTGTGTGTGTGTATCGTTATTGTAGAGGTGTTCAGAAAATATGTCGCAGGAGTATGGCGTCGCGGTAGTGTTGATGCATGTGACTCTGTAGGTGTTGGGGTGTTTGTGTTGTGTCACACACACACACACACAGAGGCACTTGTTGTCTTTTTATTTCATTAAACATTAACAGCGGTGAGGCGACCTCTTAAGTGGTGCTCCCAGACACCTTCTCTGAGTAACGCGGCCATTGTCACTGCAGATTTAATTTGTTCTGGGCATAATAATTGTATTTTATTATCAGTCGTTGATTATATTTATTGTTGTTTATTATTATTATTTATTTATTTATTATTATTATTATTATTATTATTATTATTATTATTATTATTATTATTATTATTATTATTATTATTATTATTATTATTTGTTCTTCCATTCTTCTTCTGATTATTTTTACCTCCCTCCTTTCTTTTCTCCACTTTTCCTCAGTCCAACGTTTCTTCTCTGTTTCTTCTACCTTTATCCACTTAGATCTTGAATATCCCCACCTTATTCCTTCTCATTCTCTTTGTTACTCATCCACATTTCTCCCTGTGTTATTTATTTTTCTTTTGTGTGTTTCCGTATTTTTTCAGCTGTAATCTTTAATTATTACTAGTTTTCTCTTGCTTACAGACCGTCTCTTCCTCCTCCTGTCTCCTCTTCCTCGAGATACGGAGAACGAGTAAAGGAAGGAGAATATTTATTGTTTTATGTACATGTTTATAAATCGCTCTCACCTCACACCCATAGTTAGTGCCAAAATAAAAATCTGTCTCGTTCACTGTCACTCGTAACTCAGTTGTGTGTGTCTCCTCCCGTCAGACACATTCCTCTACGGTGTCACATTACCTGTATGTCTCTCTCCCACACCTAGTTAGTCCCGCCCCGCCTTCACCCAACCCTGAATTTATCCACCGTAATAATGATAGTAATTATGATGATAAATACAGCATGGTAAATATAGGAAAAATAATTCGCTATAGTGATTAGAAATGATGGTGTTGATGGTGATTGTGATAACACGACCTATCTTTTTCCCCGCCCACAGTGGTGATGCAGAGATTCGAGGTGGGCGTGAGTGATGCTGCGGGCGTGGTGGGCGGGCCAGCCGTGTTTACCTGTGACGTGCCGCCCACCGTCTCCCGACACGTTTCCGTCACCTCCTGGACCATCGACGGCCGCACCCTCGCCCCGACGTCACACCCAGGTGAGTCTAGGGGAGGACCGTAGCCACACCTCACACACACACACACACACACACACACACACACACACACACACACACACACCATACTGTCAGTGTATGATATACGTAAAGTGGTCACGCATCTGTCTACAGGAAGGTCACTTTGGCCTCATTACAGAAGAGTCATGTTGTTTACAGTGGTGGACGAGGTGTGTGTGTCATCAGAAGAGAGATACACTGATAAAACTCGGTGGCTCTCATAACCCGCCACTGTCCCGTCCACGTCTGTACTGTATTGAGTCGCTGTAACCTGTAATAGTTAACTCGTAAACAATACATGGTAGTTCACTGGGGAGTCCTTGATGTCTTTGTATTTGAATGTCTAGAAATAATTAATAGGTTGATAGGTGTCTTTTTGCTGTGTGGGTAATATAAGAAAAAGGACAGGTCAGTCATCATGTGTGACGTAGGAAATGGGCTATACCATTTGTGTTAATATTTGTTCAGCCATTAGGCCTAATTCAGTACAGTTCCAGCAGGTAAAATTAATAGTGTGATAGTCAGACGGTACAGCTGTCACAATTATTTTCACTTGAAATCGGTGAAGCTTAGTTCAGTACACTTGGTAATATTAATAATCTGATGCATAATTACGGCTTGAATTTCATTTGTCATAATCATTATTCTCACTTATAATCAGTGGAGTCTAGTTCATTACAGTTCGCAATATTAATTCAGTAATTTGATGCAGAATCGCAGTTTAAATTACAATTGTTTGAATCATTATTGCGTCTCGCATAAAACTAGTGATACTTTTCTGCTCGCCGAATGATTAACTAATTCATATTTTTAATCTGGAACTGTGGAGGGAAAATATGCAGATGGTGGTGTGGCGGCCGAGTGGATACTGAGCTCAACTCCGTTCTACGAGTCGCTGGTTTGATGCCAGTGCACTCCTAGTCCACCGAGTTGGAATTAGCTTCCTAACTTTACAGTTGAAAAGTGAAGGCGATCGAGTGCAGTGCCGGCCACACTGCCTCCTTGTATACCTGTATTGTATATGGCTTACAGTTGTTGTGTCCGCACTGCCCCTGACGGGCCTTCGGGATCCACATTTTCAGTACAGTGATGTGTGGATGGTGAGTTACTTCATGGTTTCTTCAGTTTACAATTGTAAAAAGTGAAAGTAGGTATCACAGGCATGACTGTGGATACAGCGCACTGTATATTAGACCCTCGGTCCGCAAGGCTGCAACTTGGCCGAAAAATGCACCCTACAGTTTTCACTTCTCCAAACGTAAAGTTAGGTACTCATTTACAGCTGGATGGACTAGGAGTGCCCCGATATCGAACCAGCGAGTCCTTGGCCAGGAGGCAAATGTTGTATCCACTCCCCGCCGCACTCACCATTAAATATAATACAAAAAGTAAATATTTCTCATTGTCATGGATCCTGTGTGCTTAACTGCTGACGTAGTTTTTGTATATATTGATAAACACAAACAATGGCGTGCCTATTAGCCTTAGAAATTAGTTTAGTCATAATAGCTTAATCATTCAAATGCCAACATCATTTGTGTACATTGAGAACAAACATCATGGGTCTACTCAGTCTCATTTGGCTCAGGTATTATGAACACCCGACGCACTACAGTAGGTCAAGCTCGGACTCTGACATATAGCGGATTTTATTCTTAATAATACGGGATTCTCTCAACACAAAAGTCCTCGTAGGGCCGGAGATAAAGGACACAACCTGACGTGACTTGTTGAGGGAGAGGTCTTAGCGCGTCCTGGCAGCCTGTGTCGTCTGGGGAGTGGACACATTCAAGACACTTTTAACGTACAGTAATGGATAATGGGATAAGGTAATTTTCCAGATACAGTATTGTGAAACTCTTACCAAACCATCGTCTCTTTTCTGTACGTACAGTGAAGCGGCATGTGGAAGAGGTGGTATATATTGCTTCTCGGGCCAGCACTCTAGCTTGGTGATGTAGATTTATGGTATGAATATATTTCCAAACAGCATCTAGGTCTTAGGGATCACAACAATACACTACACTCGTAAAAAAAAAGAAGTCATATATCACGTGAATACTCCAAGGCTCGTCTTAGTATTGAGGTAATGACTATTTAGCTCCTTGTCTTCGTGATCAGCTCAACTAATTACCCCAGCCAAGACGCTCATGTTACGTGTGGCATTGTTCTTCACTCCTTCGGTCGCTCTTTTGATATGCTTGAGGACCTGTTTTACGATTTTATCTCTGGACTCCTTGGAGGGATTATGGAGAGGTGCTGGAGGAGTGGGAGGAAGAGGAGGAGGTACTGGGGGTGGAGGTGAGAGGAAAGGGAGGGGAGGTACTGGAAGGAGGTGGGAGGAAGAGGGGAGGAGGTACTGGATGGAGGTGGGAGAGGAAGGAAGAGATAGAAGTAAAAAATGTCGATGATTTATAGAGGTGGGAAATGAACAATGAGGCAGAGGTGAGTGGTGATGGTGGGAGGTGGTGGGAGAGTAAGACAAGGAGAGAATAAAAGAGGGAGGAAGGATATAGAAGAGAAATCTGATAGAGAAAGAAATTGAAGGGAAAGGTAAGAGAGAGCATAATTACACAGGAGAGAAATGAGATCAAAGGGCAAGAATAAGTGGAGTCAAGATAAAGCAGAAGAAAAAGGACATGAGAGAGAGAGAGGGGGAGGGAGGGAGGGAAGGAAGGAGAGAAAGAGGGAAGCAGAGAAAGAAAGAAGAAAGATGGATCCTCACCATACTGTTCCATTCTCCCATCCCTTCTACCATCTCTTCTTCCCATTCCACACCTTCATATAAGCTAAAAAGAAACACCCCCCCCTTACACCACCCCTCACCCTCCCCCCCTAAATGAAGCAATACCACCCCCTCCTCCCCTCCCTTTAGTGTGCAATATTAAGGCCATATATAACGTGTTGTGGGGTGGTGCGTCTTGACCGTATCCTCCCAGCCAGTATATCACAGCTGCCTCACATGTATCACCCTGCCGACACCGCCGACACCCTCTTTAACACCGTCATCAGCTGGTAGAGTCATCCGTCAGTTTGGAGTGTCATCCGTCAGTTGGGAGTGTCATCCGTCAGTTGAGAGGGTCATCCGTCAGTTGAGAGGGTTATCCGTCAGTTGGAAGTGTCATTTGTCAGTTGGGAGTGTCATCCGTCAGTTGGGAGTGTCATCCGTCAGTTGGGAAGGTTATCCGTCAGTTGGGAGGGTTATCCGTCAGCTGGGAGGGTTATCCAATAGCTGGGAAGGTCATCCGTCAGCTGGGATGGTACTAGTTTGAAATCTTACTTGACTGATTTCAAGGTAACCAGAGCCACGATAGACTCAAGTGGCGGCGGCAGAGTTTCGCAACGAGTGGAAGACGACAAGTGGACGCTGGGGGAGGGAGGGAGGGAGGGAATAGTCGTGTCCTGCCGTGACTGTTTCTCGCTTTAATTAGCTGTCCTTATCACGTTACAAGTCTCCCCTGCAATAAACACACACACACACACACCATCCCTCCTTCCCTCACTCAGACTGCCTTGTTAACGGAGTTGTAATTACCCTGTCCGAACTGGTGCCTGAAGGCCATTGGGAAGTGATCTCACAGGGGTGTTTGGAGTATTTTACACCCCTCCGTAGTCACCGAGAGGGTGTTACGCTTGTGTTGTGTGTGGTTTGTGTAGGGTAAGTGTGTGTGTGTGTGTGTGTGTGTGTGTGTGTGTGTGTGTACAGTCAGCAAAAAGTATCTCTACCCCGACTGTGAGTGTAACTATCAGAAACACCGGGTGAAGGTTTAAAACGTATTCCTGTGGTTATCGTCGCGTATTGGTGTGTCTGCTGCTCTTGTGTGGCAGTGTTGTTGTAATCGCTCTTCACGATAGCTCCATGCCTATGTCGTCCCTGTGTATGATGTATGTAACGTAATCTTGGTTGTATGTAGAATATAAATGATTCTTTAGTATGTGTAAGTACATAATGGGATGGTTTTAATTTATGAGATGAATTATATAACGAAACATGACTAGCTGGTGCCTATGGGAGTGTTTACACACTCGTCTCTCTCAACACGAACCTTTTAGTTATACTTGAGCGTAATCGTGGTATTTCATTGATACCGATATTAATGGTAAAATATAGCCACACTGTTGTCACAATGTTGTTGAGTTATAAGTGTTTCAGATATATGTAAATTTATTGAGTATCATAGAGAACTGATCCGGTCCTTCATCTGTGTATTCGAACAAGTGTTGGGCTGTACTGATTCATTACTGGTTAATGGTTGTTTCCCACAGTCAATATTATGAAACGGCAACTCATCTCGAGGTTTACAACAACCCTCCTAACATGTTGCACAAATACATCGATATTTATTCATCATTAAAATAATACATTGCACATGAATGCTTAATTTAATTCGTAATATTATGTGGTAATGTTTTATAAACTTTTATCACAGAACATTGTACGAGGAAGGATTTTCTATAATCAGAGTCACTGTACCATCCTATCCCATACATCAGTGTCTGAAGTTATTGTTCATTTCAGTTACACCGGACTTGGGTTCTAGATATTTTTATATACTGACTGTACATGTAAGTGAATATATATTTAGATGTGAGAGTATGTGTATTTAGATGTAACCGTATGTGTAGATTTATGTTTGAATGTGTGTGAGTGTGGAGGCGTGTTATGCATTTGGTTTCGATTAACATGTGAGCGAGTAATCAACGCATGGCCTCCACACCTCAGCATTACGTTGATCGCAAGATCTCTGGACCTGTGTGGTGCGCCATCAAGTACAGTTTGCTTCATGTTAATGGAGCACCTTGTGACTACCGGGTGGGTGGGTGGATGAGGCGCTGGGAGACGTCACCTGCACCTCGAGTTTGGATCTTCGTGAGAGGTTAAGGTATAGGGTTGACTGCTTCTCCGGGCTCACGAGGGTGGCCAGGGAATCGTGTCGTTCTGATATTACGATCTGTAACATAATCACAATATGCATTTTATT